TGCTATGTTCTATTGTCGGAAAGGTTTTTATGCGATCCCGGTTCAAGCTCTTGTTGACTCTGACTATATTTTTCGTTTTTGTTCTGCAATTTGTACAGGTTCAATACACGATTCTCTCGCTTTTTCTGTTTCAGGACTGAAACGGGAAATAGACAAGGGCATCCTCGGCACTTGTTACTACATTGTAGGAGACGAGGCGTACTCCTGCACAGAGCACATAATCAGGCCATTTTCGAAATCGGGTGCTGACACTGACCAAGACAACTTTAATTTTTTCTATCCTCCTTGCGCATGCACGTAGAGCAGGCATTTGGCATGCTAGTTGCCCGTTGGAAGATAGTTCGTGGTGGGTTAGAGTTTTCTGTAAACAAAAGCACTAACCTTATTTGTTTGCTAATGAAGCTGCACAACTTTGTGCTCGAAAACGACAGAGAGCGCTCTGTGTTGACGCATCAGCCAACAGACTACGAGAAACAAGTTTTAGAAGCTGAAATCAATCAGTGGTGCCAGGAATCAAGACAATGGGCTCGTGGATTTCAGGGCAGATACGAGAGAGATTGCTGCAGTCACGACGGAACACTTTTGCCTGTCAGGAATGGTTCTAGTTCCAGAAAGCGAGACACGTTGGTTCAAATTGTTAAGGAGAAAAGCAGAGAACGGCCTGAAGTACCGCTGCACCATTACAGCGTAGATCATGAACGCATGTGAACAATTTATCAAGTGCAACCGTCTGGCCAATCAGGCGAGTAGTGACGGAAGGGATGTGGATTTGATTTCGCGACAAGTGGCAAACACAGTCTCTATTTGATCTACTACCGTTGGTCTCACCAGCCTTGCCGGCATTCAGCTTTGCGTACAGCCGAAAATGCCGTCATGCGACGTACCCGGCGACAATGTTTGTGTTGATCGCATGTCGATCGCTGTGTGTTTGGCAAGGCTACGCGTCTCTGGATTTAGCAGAAGGGTCCTACGTGGACTACATGATGTCTCAAAGAATTTTTTGTGCCCTTCAAGACCAAGGACTAGAGACATTCTTTGGACCGGAATGCTGATGAGCCCACAGCTTTCGGACTTGCAGACAGCGAGTGTCGAGGATTCGAAACAGAAAACAGCAAGTGTCGAGGATTCAGAACAGAAAGGAGGTAATATTGGATGTACGATTGGGTTGGTGTGCCTTGGGGTTGTAGGGGTTGTGCCGGCAATATTTGTTGTTAGTGACAGCTCTACGAGGGGTCGCAAGTGCAGCAGCTGCTACCGCACCTGCCGCAGGTGAGGAAATGGCCTGGGAAAACGTCAAAGAAATGTACAGGGATGCAAAATATGAAAACTATAGCTCCGGCAAGATATTGTCGTCCCCTTCGATGGGGCCGGTGTTTGACACTGTCTTTACTGGCTTTAAGGAACGCCTAATCCTCCTATCATGATCTATTGAAGCGTATCTTATCCTCTTCTATCGCCGCTTCACAGTCAGCCGGGGGAATCTCTTCTTCCTGTTGCAAATTGCTGCTGACAACAGGTGGGTTCTGAACCACGCCCCCGTCAGACCGCCGCCCATTGCAAAGAATGCCCATGGGCCGGGACTGCGGCATTGAAAAGGCCTTTTTTAACTCCTCCATTTGGAGTTTTGCGCACTCCTCAAAAGACTCATCTGGGTCCAATCCCTGGGCTTTTAAAGTCTAGTAAAGGTTTCCCATGGACACAACACACCATTGGCGCTGCTGTAATTGCTGCATTGTCGAGTTTTCTATCTCGGTCTTCCTTTTTTTAAACGCCTTCTCTTTTCGTTCAGCGGCCTTCGCTCGCTTTTCCGCAACTGCTGCTTCGGAATAGGTCCTCCACGAGTGCTCAAACAAATTCTCTCCCCGATCAGTACTCCTGCGATTTCCGCGTCCCGACATCCCGCTGGTTCCCTGACTGCCACCCTCGTCACATCCTCTATCGAATGGGATCACCCTCGTGCACAAATTCGCAAACAAGGTGTCCTCATTTTCCGTTCCTTTCCGCGCGCAGATAAAAAGGACTACATTCCGCTTCCCTTCCGCGGTCAACTCCCCCGCCGAGTCCCTGCGTAACTTTTAAAATTCCCGGTGTTGTTTTGTCCAGACCTTGACCAATTTTCCACACACGTCGTGAAGGACCTCCGTGCATCCAGAAATGTTTCTTTCAAAAATGTAGCCGACCGATGACAAGGCGGTGCCACCTTAGAGTCTACCCCGTCGACATTCCCAACCATGTTGAGATGAAGGCGCAAATTAGGATTGTTAAAGCGCTCTTCTATAACACCCCAGTATGAGTCTCTCATAAACCCCGCATCCAGCTGACTCCTTGTTAGCTCCTGCCTTGTCCCATCCAGGGCGCCTTTCGCGTCTTCATCATCGCGTATGATGACGCATAGGCGAGCGAATTCGCTGATGCTAAACGTGCCCAATCCGCTAACCGGACCAGCCTCTCTCTGACTTCCACTTGTCTCGTCCAATTCTTCTCCACCGTGATCTTCAATTCTCATAACTTGATCCCTATTTTGTCTTGCTTCCTCCAAGTTTCCTTTTTTTCTCTTGAACTTTTCAACTTATTTCGCTTCCAAAAGCTCGAATAGCTCAGCATCGCCGGGAACACCGGTATAGTAGAGCAGAGATCGCAGGTCGATTGTCACACGCTGCTGAAGCCAATACTCGAATCTAGCCGTTTCTGGGATCGACGACATAGCAGCACAAATCGTTCGTCCAGATAAAGTAAAAATTTGTAGCTGTAGAAAAGCTCGAGCGACGAGGGTACCCTTGTTACCTGATTTTTTCCACCTCCATTCCTTCAATATGCCCCTTAGTTGCTTGACATTTAGGCTTGAGAAAAAAGAGAATGCAGCGCATTTATCATTGGCTTTCGAGGCTCTGACCTCACCAGCTGCTCGCTGGTCAACTGAGAGAACGCGAGCACCTGCCAATGGCTCTATTGGCGAATTATTTTGGGAGTCATTGACAAGATTATGTGCGGAGCGAGGAGAAGATTCTTGCTCTGATCTGTGCGTAAACTTCAGCACGCACATAGTTTGAGCGTTTGGAGATGGCGGCGACGAGGGACATGGTCTAAGGAAACAAGGACTGCGACGGAGAATGAGGGGGGACTCCTGTGTGGTCATTGTGATGGGGATCGGAAAGCGAAGGGAGCGAGGAGTTGTTAGGGCATGCCGCGGTATGTTAGGTTCTGGGTGGGTGCTGTTGGGATACGAATTGCATCTCCTTCGGATGCCAGTCTCCCGCCGTTTTTCAAATATAGTGGCATTTTGGAGCATCAGTAAAATGATTAAACTGAATTTCGATATGTGCAAAATTGGATCTAGATTGAATTCATTCACACTTATCCAGTAGCGATAGCCAATGATTTTGTTTTGCATGGCACGTTGGTAGTGATGGAAGCTATTATTTTAACATTGTGTGCGCTATCATACTGTTAAGAAAAGTATTATATAGACCGATCAGGTGCAGGCCGACGTCCATACATGTCCACACATGCCCGTCCATGTTGTCTTAAAGGAAGCCCTGATGCAAGGAAGTGGCTGCAAAAAGCCGTAAATCTCATTATCTTACAGTGCCTGGTTCGATATAGTGCCGTTTTCGGCCCACTGACACAAGGTAGCACTATATCGCGATCCCCCTGTATTGTGATGGGAACGAGGCTCGAGATGGAAGAGGCAATGATTGGGTGGGTTGGTGAGA